CGACAATTTAAGTTTTGGATGAAAGTTTGAAGCTTGTGAATTAGTTTGTAGTTTTGTATAGACGGTTTCCTCAGTTTCTTAATAAAATTTCTAAGAAAATGGGAACGATTGTTTCCAAACAGCAGTTGTAGTTTACTGACACCAACAGAGGAACAGAAATCAGGCTGATTGGAAGAAGGCAACAGTACCCCTTATGAACATCAGTGACAGCTCTAAGTCGCAAGTTTGTGGGCAATAGTGTTCGGTTGTCAATTTCAATGACAGTGATACTGTCACAAAGACCTTTAAAAAATAATCTAGATTTTTGAATTATATACTGTAAAAACAAGTTGTGTCCGAGGAGAGAGAAGAAAAAAAAAAAAGAAAAGATAAAAGGCGTATGAGAAAAAAAAAAACGGAATTTTTTACCACATTGAAAGTATGTGAGAACTTTAGACAACATTTGAGAGTTTGTGGAAAGTGGCTCATCGGTTTGGCATTTAAGAATGCCATTCCAGTACTCGATAATATTGACAGTTAATTAATTATGTTGCTTAGTGGCATAAGTATTTAATCTGTTTCTAAAATTTACAGCATTGAGGACAAAAATATACATTTTTTTTGGCTTATGAGATGTCAAAGACAAATACATTGCTTATGGAAGACGATAGCTTATGTTGAGTTTTCTTTTCTTCAATATTTTGTAATCATGCAATCTATTTAGACATACATCTTTTTTTGTCAAAAAAAAGAATTTTTTTTATTGGTAAAAATGTTTTTGCAAAAATTGGCTAAAATTTTTTTCTGATATCTGTTAAATAGCTACTTTTTGGTTGTGATTTTGGTTGAAATTTGAAGTTCTTATAGTCAGTTGATTCTGACATATCTTTCTTTCTTTCTGTTTATCATTTTTGGTATCATTAGTAAAGGTTGGAAAAAGAAGTGGAGATGAAAAATCGTGTTTAAGTGCAGATTGGGTAAATATTTCCGCTTGGTATGTATCGGTATTTTTCTTCCGTATAGTTTCTCTAATCTTTTTTTTTTTTTTTTTTTTTTTTTTTTTTTTTT